CTAGGTGAGAACAGGTGACAGATGATCTGCTGTGGTGGGGCCGGGGAGACTAATTGGCAGCACAGGCCTAGGTGATAACAGGTGACAGATGATCTGCCGTGGTGGGGCCGGGGAGAATAATTGGTAGCACAGGCTAGGTGAGAACAGGTGACAGATGATCTGCTGTGGTGGGGCCGGGGAGACTAATTGGCAGCACAGGCCTAGGTGATAACAGGTGACAGGTGATCTGCTGTAGTGGGGCCGGGGAGACTAATTGGCAGCACAGTCCTAGGTGAGAACAGGTGACAGATGATCAGCATACAGTGGTGACCTTTACCCAGGATCATAAATAACATGATTAAATATAGTACAGAAGTGAAATGAATCATACTGAAAACTAAATAAATATTTAAATTGAGGTTTAAAAACCATTTGGATCAATATTGAATATTCATAAAAGGCCACAGTGAAAACAAATGGAATTGGCATATGATTTTACAAATGCTTATCTTCCGATGAATTACCTTAAAATGTCTATCTGCCCTCTGCTACAACCATTTTTACACATCTTCTTTCAACTAAAGCCAAAAATCCTATCTTACATATACTGCAGCTTTAATCTTGGATATCTATATATATTGCCCCACAAAATACAAATCTTCCATCTACTGAAGCTTAAAATAATATCCATCCCTTAACATACTTATCATACCTATCTACCCTGTACCATACCCATACACTACTTATTAATCCCCACAAAATACATATGTACCTGTATACTGTTGTCACAAAACACCCTAGCAATGGGAATCGTATTCAAACCGTTAAGTACCTTTTTTAGTCTCTGCAATTTTTATTTTTCCAAATAATTAACAAAATAAGATTTTATTACTGGTTTGTAACCGGAACGAGGAATTACTTGAGCACAAAAACCATGTCTGAGCACGAGAACGGCTCCATAAACACGGGCCCAGAACTTTCAAACATATAGCCCACAAAACGTAAGATAGCTAACAATTACATAAAAGATCGCACAGGTTCAAGTTCTTTATTAACTTTAAGTCTTGCGACTTGATGACAGTGACATGATGAGGGAATAATGAGAGTCAAGTGTACATACAATAATAGCTAGAATCACGAAGTTACGAAACACCTTCCTTTTGTAAGTTGAGCTGGAAAGCAAATCATTTGAAAAAGAATATTTTTTAAAGAAGATATTGAGCTGTAGTTACACTACAATGAATGTGTGTATTTCAAAACAACATTACTTACCATAGTATTGTTAAGTTCTGCAGATTATCAGATGAACCTTCCTTACATTATACATTAATATTAATATTCAAAACTGCCTGAACTAGGACCTTAAATATCCATATTCTCATAATATTTAATACTCTTGTCCTACTAAGTATTTCTTTCATTTCATGACCTTAAAAATACTGCTCTATCCATATTTGCCAGCACTTTGCAAGTCAAACTGTAGCAAGTCTAACTGTAGGCAAGTCTAACTGTAGCAAGTCTAACTGTAGGCAAGTCTAACTGTAGGCAAGTCTAACTGTAGCAAGTCTAACTGTAGGCAAGTCTAACTGTAGCAAGTCTAACTGTAGGCAAGTCTAACTGTAGGCAAGTCTAACTATGTCTAACTGTAGGCAAGTCTAACTGTGCAAGTCTAACTGTAGCAAGTCTAACTGTAGCAAGTCTAACTGTAGCAAGAAATTAAAAAGGTCTACACAAATGTTATTCACATCCTGGGAAAGGTGCCATCCTCCTATATTTATCCAACGATACAACGTGTATTCCACAATAACATTTTATGATATTGCAATCTCCCACGAGGTTACAATAAATTTGATAATAAGAAACCTAGATGACTAAATATTCTCTTTTTTATACATTTAAACAGAGGATGTCCAAGGTAAAACTGTACTGTGCCTGGTTCTGTCCCTTTGCGCAGAGAGCGTGGATAGCTTTTCTGGAGAAGGGACTGCCTTTTGAGTACGTGGAGAACAACCCGTATGAGAAGACTCCAGAGCTGATAGCGGTAAATCCTAACGGTCTAGTACCGGTAATTGTACTGGAGGGCGGTCGCTCTGTGTTCGAGTCCAGCGTTTGTATAGAGTACGTGGACGAACTCGACCAGGAAGGAAAACAGATCCTACCACGTGACCCGTACGAAAGGGCACAGGTCAGGATGTGGAGCGAATTCATTAACAAAAAAATAATTCCACCATTTTACCAGATGTTGGCTGCCCAAGAAAAGGAAAAACAAGAAAAGATTAAGCTGGCCCTTTTGGAACATTTAGCAACATTTTCTGCCACCATTGACGATAGCGGTCCGTTTTTCAGTGGTAAATCGTTTGGTATGGTGGACATGATGCTGTGTCCATTTAGTCTCCGCTTCGGTCCCGTGTTGAAGCATTTCCGCGACTTTGAAGTTCCAAACACCGATCGGTACCGGAAATTCCATAAGTGGATGGATGCCTGCCATACACATCCAAGTGTCGTGCCCACCATTGCTGATGACCGCAAGATCACGGCAGTATACAGATACTACGCCGAAAACATGCCCATGAGTGATACAGCAGACGCCGTCAAAAGGATCAGCGGACTTTAGTGCTACATTTACCACTGATTGATATGTTGAGAAGCTCACTACATTTACAGATTTAAGTTAAATCTCCTATCAAACAACGCCTGGTGACATATACATGTAGCAAGAACAAACATACACGTTAAGACGATGTGATTTGCTTTGATTGATTATTGAACATGCCTGAATTAGGTGCTTTGTTTATTAAATATATTTTAGAAATAAAAAAGAGTACTAGCAATTGTCTTTCAACTCATTCTCAGAAGCTTAATGCAATGCTCAACGGTTGTACTTACGGTCAACATCATGACCAGCTTTCAATTATATATTTAGACAGACAGTATCCATAGCAACCGTGTATAGTTGTTACCAGAAACTTATTTAACATTCTAAAAGTCAGACAGTATCCATAGCAACCGTATATAGTTGTTTCCAGAAACATATTTAACATTCTTACAGTCAGACATTATCCATAACAACCGTGTATAGTTGTTACCAGAAACATGTTTAACATTCTAACAGTCAGACAGTATCCATAGCAACCGGGAATAGTTGTTAGTTGTTACCAGGAACATTTTCAACATTCTTATAGACAGACAGTATCCATGGCAACCGTATATAGTGGTTACCAGAAACATATTCAACATTCTAACAGACAAACATTATCCTTAGCAACCGTGTTTAGTTGTTACCAGAAACATATTTAACATTCTAACAGACAGACAGTATCCATGGCAACCGTATATAGTTGTTACCAGAAACATATTTAACATCCTAACAGACAGACAGTATCCATGGCAACCGTGTATAGTTGTTACCAGAAACATATTTAACATTCTAACAGACAGTATTCATGGCAACCGTGTATAGTTGTTACCAGAAACATATTTAACATTCTAACAGTCAG